GACCCGCCGACTGCACACCTGCACCTCAGCGCCCTCTACTCAGTCGATGTCTGGGCTTGAACCAGTCATTGAAGTTAGAATATCTTGTGCTCTCAAGCTGTGAACAACTAACTGATATACGCTCTGTCTATTAGGTGGATGTTTCTCAGCTAGCGCTTTATTCTCAGCACCTGCTTATTTCATTTTGTCTTTATATTATAGAGTAACGTCATCCCTGTTCTAAAATTTTGTTATATTTTTGGACTTGTTTGTTTTCACTGTACATAGCCAAGGAATTGTCTTTGTTTTTAATTTGTTTTCAATTTAATTAAAGTCTCATTATTCATACTATGTTTTTTGCGTGTATTCCCTTACTTTACCACAGACAACAGCCAAGCAGTCGATATTTTTTTTCTTTAATGTGATAGGCATTGACACCAGCCATTAGGAGGACTGCCGAACATCTACACTCCTTCATTTTCCCGTCACATTAAATGGGGGCCTGTCCTAGGAGCCTCACTCAGGTACTAGTACTAGAACATCAATTTGTGGTAAGTGTACCTGACTTTGATACAGTTGCTTTTCAATATTTCCATTACTTTAAATATTTATATGGTGCTGTGTGTGTTGTGCATTCCGAGAGTAGCATATTGTGAGTGTTGGATAACTTTGGATTACGTGGTGACTGAAGGCCTCAGTAACTCTCTTAATTGGTCATCCCTCCCTCCGTGTTATTACTCGTGTTTTCCACCTTCTGTCCCTAGGATATCTCTCAATCTCAGACAGATCATCATTTTGATACCCTGGTACTTAGATTTGTCTTCGGGTCAAAGCACCCTATCTTCTGCAATCCGACCGAAGGAGGATACAGAGGGCCATAGTTCCTCTAGCACGGACTAAGTTGCTGAGTTGGGACCTCAACAGCAGTTTTCGTCACCAGTTGACACTCGCATCTTACACGTCGGTCAGAGATGATGATATTAACTTAGGTAGGAAATTAGCTTTCTTTTTTCAGAGCACAAAGTTCGCTAATTCTGTAAGTATCATATTTCATTTAGTGGGAAAACTCTTGCTTCTGTCCTATAGAGACTCGGCAAGGTGTGCCTACATTCTTGGACTACCTTATTCACTTTTGAAACAATTAAATGTTTCATTTGTTTTAGAAACTATCGGTTTCATTTATTTATTAGGATTTTCTTGCCCTTATTCTCTTACATTGAGTACCGGGTACAAGATTTCCTGCGCTTTTGATTGACTAATCATTTACCATCCTAAAATTAACGTTAATTGTTAAAGATTAAAATTCCACAGGATAGTTACCAGTTGCCACGTTATCCTGTTACTGACACTTCCATATCACAAGTATATTCGTTGTACATTTATTTGCTGTTTTTCAACATGTTTCGTCTCCAAGCTTTTCGTAATGATCCAGCAGGTGAAATAGGGAACTTAATTCGTGCCAAGAAGACCGAATTATCAACTCTTGCACACGAGTATACACTAGATGTTCCCCATGGAGCCAACAAAAATGACGCACAATTTAATATTGGATCACCTCTTAGATGAAGGGAAGATTGACTCTGAACCTCACGAAAATTATTCTATTGCAGATAGACATGCTCTGGCAACTATGAAACTAAAGCTCGAACTTGCAAAAATCGAGAGGGAACAAAAGAAGGAAGAGGCTGCCCTAAGGAAAGAATAACAAGAACGTGAGGCGGACGTAAAGAAAGAACAACAAGAACGCGAGGTGGCCCAAAAGGAACGCGAGATGGCCCTAAAGAAAGAAGATACGGCCCTACTCCAAGAGCGTGAGCGAGTACAGCTTGAAGCAAGACAATGTCACCTGTAGATGCAACGCGAGCATGATAAGAAGCAAGCCTTTAAGCAAGCAAGGCTTTAGCATGTTATCAACTAGAACTCGCGTTGGAAACTACACACCACACTCAGCGCCAACAAGCTACCGCTAGTCTTCCAGTAAGTTTCAATGTCTCCCATGCAAGTAAGTTAATGCCACCATTCGTTGCGACAGAGATCGATGTATTTTTCACCACTTTTGTGACCCCTAGCTAAAAAACTTAGCTGGCCTGCAGATCAATGGTCTACCTTTTTCAGAGTGCATCTCACAGGTAGAGCTGCAGTTACTCTCAGTACCTTAGCGTTTGAGAATGCCTACTAGACCCTGAAGCAAGCAGTTTTGGACGCCTACCTTCTCTCCACCAAAAGCAACAGACTAAAATTCCGTGATTATCTAAAGATAAGTACCACCACCTTTCTAGAATTTGCCAATACAAAGAAAAGATATTTCATGAAATGGCTGGAAGCAGCACATGTCTCTACATTTTCAGAACTCGTTAACCTCATGCTAGTTGAGGAATTCTTGAGACGTGTTCCCCCTTCCGTCCGTTTATATTTAGCCGACAAAGAAGAAACCGACTACATCAGATGTGCGAAGCCGGCTGACACCTACCACCTCATCCACCGGCTGACACCAGAACAACCTTCCAGTAAGAAGTCTTGG